TGAGCCGATTCAGCACAACCAAAATAACAGCGGTAAATTCATCAAACCTTTCAGCGAGCGACTGCAGTTTCAAAGTGCATTTAGGAGTCTCAAGCAACCGCACGTAGCGGTATATTTCATTACACTGCTAAACCCTTGATGCACATTCCCAAACTTTGCTCTGTTGTGCAAGTCAGCAAACATACAATGCAGGAGGACGGGGCCAACGTGTGCACGTGCTTCCCTCTGCGTTTCATACACAGGAAGAAGGAAACAGCAATGAGCAGGCCATCGACATCCCAGCATATGCTCACACATTCACAACACCCGCTTTTAATGCTCTCCTCCATCTTTAATGGTGACCTTGTAGTGTCGCTATTCTGGATCACTCATCTCACCGTGGCAGCTGCTTAGAGGTTCACAGCTCACGTGCTACAACTAATCTCCTCATTAACCAAAAATATGACAATGTACCTGTCTGGGATGCCTTTGCCATCCCATAACCGGGTACGAGCAGCAAAGTCAGGGTCCAGGGCCTCCAAGCCTTCCCCCCGTCTATCTCTCCTCCTCCAGGCACCACTAGCAAGCAAAAAGACCACAAAGCAGGCTGAAGGCAGGCAAACGCTGGCCTCAAAACAGCAGCATACTTTCATTTTTAACCCCTCTAAGAATCCATCTGGATGCATACAAGCTTGTTAAGTCACTGTGGCTACACAGCAGCCCTTCAATGAGATTTCTCTGAGAGGAGAAAAAAAATAAAAACAACAACACAATACTAGAAGACAGCTTATTTAATGGGAGTGACTGATCCATCTTGTAATCTCAGGGAATTACCAGTTTCATCACAGACACAGAGAGTGCAGCCTGTGAGGATTTACTTAACAGCCAAATGTGTTAGAATTATGAAAGAAAGGGAGGGTCCAGCAGTGTTTAGACACTGATTGTGTCAAATGGTATAAATCCTGGTGTGAGGGTGGGGGCTTCAAGGCCTTTCTACCTGTGAGTGCCTGCAGGGCAGCTGGCCGACTCCATGGCATAAAAACACAGACCCAAACACTTCCAGGGCCACCACATCTGCCCCTGTGTGACACATCCACTGAGAGAGAAAACAACCATCCGACCTCTCCAAAAATCCCACAGAGTGGCATTCATCTGCTCATTAAGTCACAGTGCTTTGGAACAAAGAAAACTGCTTCCAGTCAAAAAAGAAGAGAAGCTGAGTAAAAAGCACTCCTGAGGAACCTGACTCAAAATAACTTTCGTTGTGGGGATACACACACTGTGTGGTCAGACAAACAGACAAAACAACAGATAAAAGCAGAGTAAGCGTAGAGAAAACCAAGATGTTTATGTGGAAAAAAGGGCTTTAAATCACATGTTTGCTAAATTCAAAAAAGAAAACACACAACAGATCCTACTGCGAGGTCCCCAAGAAGTGAGGAAAAGAGGCTTATTTTGCCCGTCCAATAAGAACGTAGTAGCTGTGCTGTCTAGACGAGAGAGGAGGGGGAGGGTTGGTTAATAAAAGGGAGTTGGTTTGGATGGGGCTGTGTGACCACCAGCCCAAGCAACCTCCAGTGGTGCAGAGGAGGCGTGGAGTGAACCATCAGTCTCTGCCAGAGCCGGCGAGATAAGCAAATTACACCAGGAAAGCATGAAGAGACACGGAGGCGTTAATCGCCACCCGCACATCAAATCAAATCAATTAAGAGGGGGCCAGCTGGCACTTGAATCCTCCCATCCAGTCTCCATTCATTCAAAGCCTCCTTCTGAGTCGATGTGCTCAGGAGAGGAAATGTGTTTGTGGATGGGTACCGTTACTGCAGCTTTAGCCTCTTCTAATAACCTGATTTGTGGACAAGGTTTGTCCTCCTTGGGTGGCTTTAAGTTGTAAGTGGGTTAAAATTAGTCTTATTAGATGATACTGCCACTCCAGACAGCCTGACAGCAAGTGTATTAGTGCCTGGCAGTCTGCATTTTCACTGCACTGGCATGCTGGGACACTGGACATGCTCGTTGCCATAGAGATACATCATGACATCATGGTTTTGCACCTTCAGTGAGGATCTGAGATGACTGTGACGTTTACTGCAGCTTCAACAGTGTTTGCTACCTCACGTTTAGACCAGCTTCAGCAGCTTAACAGAGAAGCTCCTGTATGTCAATGAGCTACTCAGCCTTCAGTGTTGATGGGCTATATGCTAATATATCGGCCACTGTTTTCCCCTTTCAGAACATGAAACAATCAGATTTCCCTAAAATTTGTTATGTTATGGGGAAGAGAGAGATGAGGAACATTGAAAGTGCTGCGAGGTTACGCAAATAAAAGTTATCATCTTGTTAAAATGGAGTGTTCACAAGCTTGGATTCTAGTATTTATGTGGATGCTAATTTGAAATGCACCACCTACCTAATCTGTTCCAGATTAAGCACACTCTTCATGGCACTTGGCAGCTGACACCTCCCAGCAGGATACTATGCACTGCCACACCACAAAAACTTAAGGTAGTCACACCAGATCGCAATATGCAGAGCGGGGCTGATCCAGCACGTGATTCATGCTGGACCAGCTCCGCTCTGCAACCCAGTGGACACAAAAGCTCTAATGCCTACATGCCATGTTGCACACCACAGCACTGCCATATCTATGCCACAAAGGTCAGAGGTGTCATAGTGGTGCGATGGTGGCCCACCTTGGGTCAATCAGATAATTTTATGTATGTTTTAGCAAGTCTCAATCACAATACAGTGGAACCCCGACTTACGAATACCCCATTTAACAAAAAATTCAACTTACGAAGGCACTTAACGGCAATATTTCTGCCCGTGTTACGTCAAAATGCCCGCTTAACAAAATCTGCTGGCTCTGATTGGCTGAGCCCAGAATGCCTACAATGCCCACAATTGGCTTTCGTACTTGCGCTTCACTGTTCCACTTGAACGACGTATTAGTGTTGCAGTTAGCAATTAGCCCATAGCCTATCGTTCACTCAAAAGGCGCAATGGGTGCTTCGACTTACGAAAATTTTCGACTAATGAAAGACCCTCGGAAACGAATTAATTTCGTAAGTAGGGGTTTCACTGTATTAAGTAAACACAAAGGATACAATTAACGATTTTTTCAAATCGCATAAAAGTGAGTTTTACCACTCTGGCACTAACAAGTGTCTAAAACCAACTTCTAAAATACAATATTGCCTCAGCAGGAACCTCCCTCTGCCTCTCTCTCTTCAGGGGGCAGTTTGCTTGTACCCGTGCAATGGCAGGAAGCAGTGGAAGGAGAGGAGCTGAAAGAATTGGGCTTTCTGCAGGGTCATTCACTTGCCTGGCAACAGGCCAAACAGGACAAGCTAACACAACAAGGTACAAAGAGAGAGGGAGTGGGTTCCACCTGCCCCGGCGACTACAGACACTGCAGAGCTTGACGGGGAGCTCTGGCTAAATCCTGTCTGCTGTCTGTTACTTATGCGCCCCGCCAGCTCTACTGCAGCCTGACAAAAACCACCCCAAAGAGCTGCCCATGCAAATGTAAATGCCTGAGAGTGAAATGTGTTTATTTTGGCCAAGCATATAATTAACTCCAAAAGTTTAGTGAAGACAGGCAGTAACACAGAAAGCAACCCTTTTCTTTCTTCTTCTTTTTGTTTGTGTGCGTGTGGGGGGGGGGAGGGGTATGTCAATAGCGACCCACTAGCCCGTTGGCCATCCAACAGTACATCTGTGGCTCTGAAGCCATAAACTGTGTTGGTGTGCTGCCATTCTCACTTTCCTTCACATGGCGCATCACACATGCCATTCGCACTCACACATGTTCTCGCTCACACAACGGTCCCCGCAGCGGGGCGATCGGGGGCTACAGACTGATCCACGGCAGATATGACCTAGTTTCTATTCAGGCCCGTCTCTTTGTTCACTCCACAGTGGAGGAGGCTGCTGCAGCCCGTGGAACAAAGAACACAAGCAGCACTTGGAACCTTGGAACCAGCTGACCCTGCCTGGATACGGCCGGCCCAAAAATGGCTCGTGAAGGCAGAGCCACATGGCCTCCCACTGTCTTCAAATCTCCTCCTTTTTCCTACTTTGATCTACCAGCGCTCCAGACAAGGGAGGATAAGCCCCAGTTCCTGCAGTCTCCCACAGTCCCCCTGTCTGAGAGTGATGAGACATATCTCGTGGCCTGAGTTATCAGTCTGTGGGACGGGAAAGAAAGGAGAGGGAGGAAATAAATTTTATGATTTCTAGTGTGTGTGTGTGTGTGTGTGTGTGTGTGTGTGTGTTGGGGGGGAGGTCAGGAAGTCTAGATCTCTGCAGATACCAAAACCTTTGCAGAGATAATCTGTCTCAAAGCATTAGCCTAGCTATAATGATACCTTTACACACCTTCCTGTGGTACAGCAACATAAAAGTGTTTGAAAAGCTAAAGTGACAACAAAGCTGCACAGCCTTATATTCAATCTACCTGAAGACTCAGTTATAGAAGCCTGCATGTAACAAGCAAAACCATTTAGTCGTTAATGGCCCAACTACAACGCAACCCCCTCACCCCACTCCGTCTGTACAAACCAGACAAATTCTGCTTCAAAGACAACAGCAGATTTTAATAAGCACGTGCAACTGTTGATGCGTTTACTCAGAACTGGCAAATGATGCACAGCTGATGAACGATTGCAGCTAAGCAAGATGATGAATGAAGAAGCTGGAACTTCTCTCTACGCAATGACAGAATGTGACTGGGACGAGGGCAGCTATTTGCAGATGGCCCAGAGGAAATGTGAGCAAAGAGTGTGAAATAAACCAGGGAGAGAGGAAGACGTGAACAGAAAAGGGAAAAAAAAAAAACCACAGCTGAGAGAACAAAGAAACAGAAAATGAATGGCGATCATAAGAGTGAGTCACTTTTGCTGGGAGGGGAGCAGTTACAGAACCAAAGGTGTCACCCTGTGTGGTATTTGGTGCACCTGCAAAGCAATGCGCAAATGCGCAAAGCAAGGCTTACTAATAGAAATTAAGCAGCAGCTTACCTGCATGTGTTCTGTTGAGCTGCTGCTCAGCTCGTCTCCAGACTCCGAGTCGTTGCGGAGCTTGTTTAGCCCCTCTCCAGGAAACTCGCTCAGAGGGGACGTCTTGCTGCCATCCGGGCTTTTGTGGTTGTTCCCCGATTTTGGTGTTGGTGAATCAGCCCGCGTCCGTGGCAATGTGGAATTGTTGGGGTGGTGGTGGTTGTTGTTATTGTGGAGAAGTACCAACTCAGCCACCAGCTTGCAGTGGTGGGGACTCCCCACATTCTGGTTAGCATCCTTGGGCAGTGCAGGCGGAGTGACGCGATCAGAGGATGGAGAGGGGGTGGAAGAAGGCGACGGGCGTCCGAAGCTGGACATTTCTGGCTGAGGTCTGTTGAGGTTCTCATTGGAGGCCCGGCAGATGTCCAAAACGGCGGGCTTGGCCCTCAAGGCGGGTTTCTGGGGGGGCATGAGCGCCCTGCGCACCTCCCTGACGTACTGTGCTGGCACATAAAATGCCTTTGCGCCTTCGTCCTTTCTCACCTGCCACCAGTCCTCGTTGGTCTTCTTCACCAGCATATAGCACTCTCCCTGCCGGATAGCCACCATCTTATCTTTGGCCTTGTACTCGTAGTCATATTCCACCTCAATGTAGACCTGTCCCGGAGCGATGGGCAGCCCCTCTCTGTCAGCCATGTCTGTGGGAACAAGTGCTTGCCTCAGCTGATCAGCAATCTGGGCCTGCAGGGTTCCTCATATCTCACTGAGGAAGACGAGACAGAGGAGAACCATAAGTTGTTAATTTTTATTTTCTTTAAAGACTACAAAACTTTGAGCAAAGTTGAACACACACATCCAGTAAACAACACAAACCCTCTGCTATTTATATGGCCTGGGTATCCACACCCCACTTTATTACTCACCTTATAACCACAACCACAAAGCGCTACTGCTGAAACACGCTCACATTATGACACAATGTTCCCCCAGTCAGACGTGCTCGGATGGTGAGTCAACCACAAGCAGGCAGTCAACACTGACTGGCCCTGATAACGGATACGACCACTAAGGATATCCAGCCTGGTAATCCGATCGTCCTCTGCTGAGCTAAAGGTGATGGCAACATGACCCCACACACTAATCTTAATGACTATAACGACACTGTGGAGGCCACGTTCTTTCAGTCGCTGCACTTAAAAATAAAGTCGGCATCACTTTATTAACTTCTTGTCATGCACTGTATAAAACCACTACCAGCCCGTGGTAGCCTTTGTGTAGCTCTCAGGCACACAAGCAAGGCTGCACTTCAGTAAATGTGCTTCATGGATGTAGCTCCCCCGTCTAAAAAGTAAAGCCCAAGTGCAAGTGTCTTCAACATGGAGTGTTTTTAATGGCCATTAACATGCAGTTTCTCAGGGTGTAAAGAGAAGTCCAATTGGGAGGAAGTCTATGGGAAAATCCACTTCCTTCTTCCTTGATCTATGGCCTCAATAAAACCTTTCCTCACGAGTTCATAGTTTCAGTCGATAATGTGAAATATTACGAAATAGATTGTTACGTTTACTGTGTAAATTTTGGTCCCAATTAGTCT